GATGGATGGTCATTCTACTCATTATGGTCCTGACCTTATCAAGATAGCAGCTGAAGAGCAAATTTTAATATTTGTATTGCCACTCATTTAACACAGCCACTTGACAAAGGGTGTTTTGGGCCATTAAAAACTGCTTGGAAGGCTGTGTGTCATGAGTTCTGCACTAAAAACCCTGGTCGTGTGGTAACCAGATACGATTTCTCTGTATTATTTGCTGATGCATGGAGAAGGTCAATGACACAGAGAAACATTGCAAGTGGCTTTGAAGTAACTGGTATATGTCCTTTCAACAGAAATGCTATTAAAACTGGCAATGACAAGCAAGAAACCATCAGCCGTTCACTGTTAGACCAGACTGGTCTAGCATACATACCGCTCTATAGTCCAGATATAAAGAGAACGAGGGATCATGATTCTTCATTCAATTCTAGTCTCTTGGAGAGATCACTTTCAGAGAATGATTTATCGCAAGCTGTCACTCCAATGCGAAGAGTAATGCCTATAGAGTCTTTTCTGAAAACTCCCAGTCATCCCAGTAGCAAGCCCACCCTGAAGCCTAAATCATGCGGAAGAGTATTGACTAGTGTTGAATTCATGACATGTATAGAGGAAAAGGAAAGAATGAAGCAGGAAGCCTTGAAGGAGAAGGAGCGTAAAAGAATTGCTAGACTTGAGAACCAGAAGGAAGCTAATAGAGTAAAAGAGCTGAAGAGAAGTGCAAGTAATATATCTTATTGTGAAAAATTTAATCTGATATTGGACCATATTTTTAACGACCTGGGGGCGAAGCCCCCAGGTCGTTCCTATAATTGATTTCACCGCCGCGCTATCTATATATATATATATATTTGTATGTCCACACTTACATTTCTTCTATACATGTTGTATTGGAGAAATAACAAGCCTTAGCAACCACCCGCCCACGCTCCTTTACGTAAGTGGGTGTGGCCACGGAAAACAAAATGGCGGCTTACACACGGGACAAAGTTATGAGCTTTCTAACAGCCAGAGAACATAGAGATACTGTCTAACAACTTCTCTAGAAGCAGTTGCAGGTAGAGAGAACCTCTATAAGTCTTAATGAGTGCCTAGCAATGCATGCAAGGTGGTGAAATCAATTATAGGAATTATTTTTACACTGTTACGCTTGTTAGATTTTACTATGAGTGAGCACAGGCAATTCTCTAAGAGGTTTGAAAATGGGTATGACATTCCGGATGAGAGGTATGAGTTATGGGTTTAGTTATATCGTCCTAATATGACATCTCAAGGTGGGTGTTCATGAATTCATATTATTATGTTGAACATAATGTATTTATTAATATTAAGATTCAAATGCTGAAGATGAAGACCAAGATTCCTTGAGTAATGGTATGTAACAGTAAATTAGTATTTCATTCATTGGC